CTGCTGCCGCTGTGGAGAGAGTAACGATCCATGGGTTTATATCCATGTGTATAAAATCAGGCTAATTTAAAGATGAATTATGTGTGTGTTTTGGACCATTTTCTTTTAATGTTAAAGATTCAATGGCTCCTGTCGGGTTATGTGGGCCCCAAATTTGTGTGAGGTTCAAAATGAGTACACTTTAAAAAAATATTAAATCCTATATCCAGATGGGCCATAATCAAATAAAATTGAATAAATGAAATCCCTAAGGGCTCAATAGAAGTGTGTCTGGGACATACATTGTGCAAGGGCTTGAACCTGTTACCTTTCTTTCCCCTTCACTCTGGGACCTCCTGTGGTCAGGAGGCAGAGTGCACCCTGTGTGTGTTTGTAGGGAGGGATGGCTGCCCTTTCACTCTGACCTTGCAGGCCTTACCCATCATGCTTTGCAACCAGGGTTTGCAGTGGTCCGCTAGAACTCTCTTGGAATGGTACTCAGCAGGTATTACGTACGCAACATTAAGAACCACAGTAAAATTCTTTCCATTTTTTGGAAGCAAAGTCATAGTCAATGTTACTTTTAATGCTGCAAACCTGCACTGTCCATTGTGGTAGCTGGTAGCCACGTGTAGCTATGGAGCACTTGAAATGTGGCTAGTCTGAATTGAGATACGCTCTAAGTGGAAAATACCCACCAGACTTTGGAGACAATGCAGATAAAAGAATGTAAAATTTGGCATCCATATTTTTATATTGATTTCATGTTGAATGGCAATGTTTTAGAAATACCAGATGAGATAAAATATCTTATTAAAATTAATGACACTTGACTTTCTTCCTTTTTGTGCATGTGACTACTAGTAAGTTAAAAATTACATAAGTGGCCCGTATTACATTTCTGTTGGACGGTGCAGCTGTAACACTGAAATAAAAACTATTCAAACTTCGGGAATTACATCTAGCATTTTTAAGATACTTACAATGCTGTGGATTCTTTACATATATGATCTAATTTTGAATCTAAGTTTTGAATAGAATAAAACAAAAATTAATAAGCCTCATCTTCTACCCTATTTAACGCACTAGTTTTTTTGTGTGGATTATTTTAGAGTTTCTTTATGCAGTGCATTACCATGTTTGATTTGCCAACACTGTGAAATAGATACTATGACCACACCCATTTAACACATCTGGAAATGGAGGCTTAGGTTACATAGCTAGCCCATGATCCCTTTACTAATACATGGCAAGGCTAGGGTTTGACTTCAGGGCTGTCTGAAGGCAGAATCTATAGGAGCCAATCAAATATTGTGGTAATTAGGGAAGCATGATGCCACTAAATGTCTCTGTGACCCTGGGAGAATCTCTATATCTTTCTGTGCTTCACTTTCCTGTTTAAGGGATTGGACTCTCGATGCTATTGGAGATCCCTTCTTGCTTTTTCTATTTCACTTTTCCCATTTGGTTCTGTTTTCCCTCTTGATTCTTCTACTGTGCCTATCTGGTAAAGTTTGGTTAAAGAGGACCAAGAGAGTAGATTCAATTATGGGAAAGCAGGATGGAGGCATATGTAGCAGAGGAGGAAGGAGGAGCAGGAGAAGGAAGAGGGGGAAGTTCACTATTGATGGAACATTCTATAGTGGGTAAATACTGTTGCAGAATGGGGAACATTGCATGGGGATGGTCATATAGAGCAGAACCCAAAACCATGACACGAAACTGCCCTCATCCTCAGCTAAAGATCTGCCTTTTATCCTGAAATATGGAAACTATGGAGTGAGTCTCAGAATGCAATGAAAATGCATAAAGGTTTGGACAAAGATTTTTCAAGGAAGGACCACAGAGAGACAGGGTGGAGTCCATGCAGCCTAATTAGGTGACTGGGTCTGGAGGCAGATTGAGTTCAAGCCTGGGCTTTGCCTCTTACCAACTGTGTGATATCAAGCAAGTTCGCAACCTCTACAAGCAACACTGCTCTCATCTGTAAAATGGGTTAATAACTGTGCTCTTGGGTGTAGTGGGGATTGATATGTAGCAGTAACAGCTGCTAAGTTTTGAATGTTTGCTGCTTTCCAAGCCCTCTGCATGTACACGGATGTACCAAAGCCCAGTCAGGCTCAGTCTGAGCCTGTCAACCACTAATAAGAATACAATGAGTGGGGGCCCTTGTCATGATTTCAGTGACATCTCGGAAAGATCATTCAGCTGCATTCTCATCCTGCTGTGTGGCTTTTGGTGATTACTTAACTTCTCTGGGTCTCGGGTGACTCATCTACCAAATGAGATGATTGAATTAGATGATCTGTAAGGTCTTTTCTAGCTCTAAAATGCTGTACAATTCTGGGAAATAACACTAATAAATAGGATTTATTTAGTGCTGCGAAGGCTAAGGGGGATACTAAAATATAAACTTCAACTTATATGATTATTATAAGTTTGAGGGATCGTGGCCAGCTGTTCTCTTTTGACTGAGGACAGGACATGAGGCAACACACGCTAATTGCTTTAAATTAGACATTTGGAAGACTTTTCTGACTTGGGAGAAAGAGTAATATGTCATCAGAGCAGGCTGTGGAGCTGCACACCCTGAACTCATTAAAGCAGACAGTTGGCTGTTTTTCTGACACTTACCTTAAATGTAACTTCATCACACAGGCCTTCCCTGACTCCCTGATCTAAGGTAGACCCCTCTACGTTTATTCTTTCACATTTCATTCTGTCGTTTTCCTCCATAGCACTTAAGACAATTCGTAATTGCATTTTGATTTTGTATTTAGCATTTAGTACCTGTCTCTTTGGATTGGAAGCCTCCTAAAGGCAGGGCCTGTCTTTATTTGGTTCGCCTCCTGTATCCCTAGTCCCAGCACAGTGGTGGTCACATGGCAGGTACTCAGTAAATATTTGTTGAATGAGTAGATGGATCCAGAGGTGGTTGATTTTGTGGTAGCGCTCCTTGATGGGAAGTGGATCCTTTGCTCTGCTTTTTAGGTAAGAAAAATCCCAAAGACTTTGTCTCTCAAGAGATTTTAGATGCTGTTTCTCCTTCCCACCTTCTTTTTCTGGGGGCTGGTCACCCACGGGTGTGCATTTGTTCAGTTTTAATAGATGCCCGCGTGCCCCTTCCTCGTAGATTGGTCAGACTCTCTCTGTTTCTGGTGGAGGAAATGGAAAGTGTAGGTAGGGTTCTGCTGGAGTCGGGATAGAGCCCAGTGGAGCAGGCTCGATGGTGCTGCTCCTTCCATTTGCCCCTGCAGATCCGTGCTTTTCCGTCTTCACCCTGCTTGGACCTCAGTAGGCTGTGTGAAGGGGCCTCGCTTCCCTTCTTGCTTCCATTTAAGGTTGGTGTGTGAGAGAGGACGCAGCAGGCTGATGCAGGATGGATGGAGAGAGTGGTTGGGCTGTTCCTTCCCTTGGTTCCTGGCCTCTGCAAGCCACAGCTCCTGTCCCGGGGCTCTGCTAATGGTGCTGTCTTTAGGTTCTTGCAAGCACTCTCCCTCTGTCCCTCCAAAAATAGCAGCAGTGGTCATGGCTCCTCCCCACCCTCACCCCTGCCCCAAACCCACCTGGGGTGCTTTACCTTGTTGGATCCCTTAATCTCCTCCCCCCATCTCTGTAAATAGTCCCTACACTAAACTCTCAATACCCCCACAAGGGCGGGCCATTCATCTCTCCTGTTTTCTAGGGCACCACTGCATCATAGTTCCTGCTCCCAGCTTACCTGGCACAATGGTAGGGACCACATATCAAATTGTGGCAGTGTGGGGGTATGAGGTGCAGGATCAGAGGAGAGGTTGAAGAAATATTTTGTAGTAAATCAGAATGATCACCTGTACCTTAGGTTGGTATGTTTAATTGAAAAAACAGCAGGGGATGGTGGCTCCTGCTTGTAAGCCCAGTGCTTTGGGAGGCTGAGGCAGACGGATTGCTTGAGGCCAGAAGTTTGAGGCTGCAGTGAGCTATGATAGTGCCACTGTACTCCAGCCTGGGTGACAAAGTAAGACCCTGTCTGTAAAAGAGAAAGAAAGGAAGAAAGAAAAGAAAGGAAGGAAGGAAAGAGGGAGGGAGGAAGGGAGAAAGGAAAGAAAGGAAAATAGAAAGAAAGGAAAGAAAGAAAGAAGGGAAGGAGGGAGGGAGAGAAAGGAAAGAAAGGAAGGAAGCAAAGAAAGAAAAGAAAGAAACACACCAACTTCTGTGAGGTCAGGAGCTTGGGACGCCTGGAGGAAGGGGTTCAGCTTCTCTACGGTCTCTCTTCTGGGCAGGGCTGGCTCGGGTTGCCACTTCTCTGCTGGCTTGGTGACCTCAAGCCCCAGGTAGCTGATCAAACTCCTGATACCTTCAGAAAAAAAGGTCGTGGTGTGCGGCCGTGCAGTGGCCACTCTGCTCATCCGGGGCCTGTGAGGCATTTGCCCTTGCTCCTTCTCTTCCCGTGGCTTTTGAGGCTCTCGTTTCCCCCTGGGTTGATGAGAATAGCCTCTCTGAGGCTGAACTAACTTTTCATGGAGGAAGCCAGAGCTGGGCAGCCAGCATGGCCATGAGGAGGTCATGGGGTTGCCAGACAAGAGCTGGGATAGGAGGGAATGAGCATACTTGGTTGCCAACATTGTGCATTGCTTGAGTTTTCAAAATACTTTAACGCAATTGAACACGTTTCTCCTTACAAAACCACCTGTGGGGTTGGGCATTGTTATCCTCGCTTTGCGGATGTAGTGAGGGCTCCAGGCTCCCGACGCCTGCCTTGCCCGATGTCCTGGCTGGAGAGGCAGAAGCATGGCCATGTGAGCCCACATCCACCCCACACCCTTTCTGCTCTGGCTCAGCTTCCTCTGGGGGTGTGGGCGTGATCGGAATCTATCTCTGGATTATGAAATGGAGATGGAAAAGCTGGACGGGGCCCCAGTGTTCCTCTCCCTCCAGGAGTCCTCCTCAGGAGCCCTGGGCCCTGCGTGTCCTCCAGGACTGTCCCTCCTGCCCCGCCTGCTTCTAGTGGCCTGACCTGCCTTTCTATCTTTGTTTTTCAGAAGTGGAGCTTCCCCTGAAGAAGGATGGGTTCACCTCAGAAAGCACCACGCTGGAAGCCTTGCTCCGCGGCGAGGGGGTTGAGAAGAAGGTGGATGCCAGGGAGGAGGAAAGCATCCAGGAAATACAGGTATTCCCGCACTTGCTGGGGACCCCACAGAGGGTTCCTGTCTCCATACAGCTTCCAGAACTCCAGCACTGGCTTGGCTCCGGATCCTGCCCTCAAGGGCCGGGGCTGAGTCTCAGACTGCCTCGTTTCTATAGTGGCCAGGAAGCTCCCAAATTCTTTTCTGACTTAACCTATCTTCTGAAGGAGTCATTCATTGCCTTCACCTCGGTTCCCCTCCCTCTCTTCTGTCTATCTATCCAAAGTGAATTTGTTGAGCCTAGTGAACACAGGGACTGTGTGGGGTCCCAGAGACACAGGGTGGACAAAACAGTCTGAGTCCTTGTCCCCATGGAACCAAGAGTCCTTCATCTAGGCTTGAAATGTGGGAGTGTCTGCTCCAGCTAGGGCCATGTGACTCCGGCTCGCCTGCCCCCCACCCTCACACCCAGCCTCGCTGGTCCCCACGACTGCACACTCCCTTTCCCAGCGGCGCCCAGCCATTCCCCAAGCCCATGCAGTCTTCACCCTTCAGGCGGATGGCTGCTCTGTCCTCATGGGTCCCACCCTCTACCCATGCCACTTCTAAAACTCTCACTGAATGGGATTATAATGGTGCACACCTACCACCTCTTTTTCTTTTTTCTTTTTTTGAGACAGAGTCTTGCTCTGTCGCCCAGGCTAGAGTGCAGTGGCACGATCTCCATCTTGGCTCACTGCAACCTCTGCCTCCCAGGTTCAAGCGATTCTTGTGTCTCAGCCTCCCGAGTAGCTGGGATTACAGGCATGTGCCACCATCTGGCTGCTTTTTGTATTTTCAGTAGAGATGGGGTTTCACCATATTGGCCAGGCTGGCCTCGAACTCCTGACCTCAAGCGATCGCCTGCCTCAGCCTCCCAAAGTGCTGGGATTACAGGCATGAGTCACTGCACCCGACTTCACACCTACCATTTCTTATTTGTTATTTGTCCGGAATTCTCATTGTCTAATACAATGTTTGCCATGGAGTATTGTAATATGAATTAATCCTATTATGCAATAACAGCATTGGTAGTTAAATATTAAATTATTAAAATTAAATTGTATTTCTATTTAATTTATATTCCATATTAAATGTTTATATTTTATGCTATACCTATTGTGTATATTTAATATTCAAGAAATTTATTAATTTATATATTTATTGAAACTACAATTAAATGCATAATAATGGAATAATACATTGCTAGTTGGCTTGGTAAGTTCCATCAAGCCAGGCGCGATGCTGTCATGCTCACCACTGTGTCCCCAGGGCCTTTCCCAAGCTGGATAGAGTTGAGTCTTGATAAAGGCATTGAATGAATCACAGAATTTGGCCTTCTCTGCCATTCCTGTGTTAAGATGAATTGTCAAGTCTTTTCCATTGAGTTGCCACAACATGGCTTATGTTTGTTCCTTCCTTTCCTTTCCATGAGCTGCAGCTGAAGATCCTCATTAACTGTCACCTTTATTTGTCTAAGGGACCTTGGAGTCATCTTTGACTCCTGCTTGTCTCTCACACCTGACATCTTGCTCATCAGGAGCCCTGGTGACTGTGCCTTCAACATAAGCCCAGTTCTCCCACATCCCCTCTCCCCACACCTACCATTGCTACCCTGGCCCGAGCTGCTGTCATCTTTTGTGTGGACTGCTGTGGTTGCCTTCTCAGTGATCTCCCTGCTAATGCTTGAGAGGCAGTCTTTAAAAAAATATTTTTTAATAGCAATTTTAGGTTCACAGCAAAATGAAGAGGAAGGTACAGAGATTTCCCATATACCCCTGGTATAGCCTCCCCCATAATCAACATCCTGCACTAGAGTGGCACATTTGCTATAATAGGTGAGCTGCACTGACTCATCGTATCACCCAGCATCCAAAGTCTGCATAACGGTTCACTCTTGGCGTTGTGCATTCTATGGGTTTGAACAAATGTGTAATGGCATCTGTCCACTCTTATGGTATCATACAGAAGTTTCACTGCCCTAAAAATCCTCTGAGCTCCACCTGTTCATCCCTCCCTTCATCCTAATGCCTGGCAACCACTGGCCATTTCCCCATCTCCATAGTTTTGCCTCTTCCAGGATGTCATATGCTTGGACTCACAGTATGTCGCCTTTTCAGACTGGCTTCTCTGACTTACTAACATTCATTTAAGGTTCCTTCATGTCTTTTCATGGCCAAATAGCTCATTTCTTTTTAATGCTGAATAGTGTTCTGTTGTCTAGATACATCACAGGAGAGGGAGCTTTTTAGAATTTAAGTCTATTCCTATCGTTCCTGTGCTCAGAACCCGCTACCGCCCCTGCTGTCAGAGAGTGAAATTCAGGGCCTTCTCCCCACTCTCTGACTTCATTCTTCCTCTTTTCCTCACCCGCTCCACTCCAGGCACAAGGATCTCCTTCTGCTCCTCCCAGAACACTCCAGGTTACCCCAGCCCTTGGGCCTTTGCCCTGGCCGTTTCCCCAGACGTCCACTTGCCTCTCACCCTCACCTTCTTCATTTTTTAGGTTTTATATTTTATTATTTATTTGTTGATTGATTTTTTTGAGACAGAGTCTTGCTCTGTTGCCCAGGCTGGAGTGAAGTGGCGCAATCTCGGCTCACTGCAACCTCTGCTTCTTGGGTTCAAACGATTCTCCTGCCTCAGCCTCCTGAGTAGCTAGGATTATAGGCGCCCGCCACCACCTCTGACTGATTTTTGTATTTTAGTAGAGATGGGGATTCACCATGTTGGCCAGGCTGGTCTCAAACTCCTGACTGCAGGTGATCCACACACTTTGGCTTCCCAAAGTGCTGGGATTACAGGCGTGAGCCACAGTGCCTGGCCTTCCTCTTTTCTCAGAGATGTCCCTGACCGCGCTGCACTTCATCCCACACCCTTGCCCTGCCTGCCCCTGCCTCCCGTTTCCACTCCGCTTTTCTTGTTCTTTTCCATCACTCTTATCATCATCTAAATGTGCTTTCTAATTTACATCATCTACTTACTTATTATGTTGTTGTTTATGTCTGTTTACTTCCAGTAGAATGTAAACTCCTCGAGGGCAGGACCTGTTGCCAGTTTTGCTCCCTAATATCTCACAAGCACCCAAACAGTGCTTGGTGCTTGCCAGGTGCACCGTAAATATCTGTTGAATGGATGCATGAGGGAACAGATTCCAGGAATCGCCCTGTCCCCGGTTCTTCCTCTCTCTGACATGTCCTACTTTGTTAGCTGACCTTTTGTTCTAGAGTGAAACTCTGCTAAAAAACTGTTGTTTCCCACTAAATAAATCGAAAACGATGAGCGTGACCTTCCCAGGCCTGTCCTCTCCATTCCTAACCTAGTTTTCAGGCTTATTTTCCACTACTCCTTTCCCCCCTTGTTCTTCTGCCTTCTTCCCTCCATGCCATTGGTCCCGCTGTGCCCTTTATCTGGCATGCCTTTTCTTCCGTCTCCATCTGTACAAATCCCAGTCATCTTTTAGGCTCAGCCCCAGTGCCACCTTCCCCATCAAGCCTTTCTTGATCTCCCCCCCAGCCACAGGGATCTCTTCTTGCCTTTGGTGTTTAAGCCACCTACTGCTTTCTTCCTTGTGTGTGTGTATGTGACTTTCAGATTTTGAAGTCAAGGTCTGTCATCTGTGTGTTACTTGCTAGAGTATTTTTTTGCTCAGTTCATGTAATTTGACAGAATCAGTGAATGGGGCAGAGCCATTGCCCAGAGCCTTGATGCTCTGGGGACACGGGTCCCTTTCCCTTTAAAGCTGGTGGTGGGCTTGAGTTCTTCTCATGCAGCACTGGGCTGGTGCTGTATTGTCTTCATCACGCCACCATCATCTCAGATGTAAACTGAAGGTCTGCTGCGTGTACCGCATGGGTCTGCTGTGCTAGAAGACAAAGCCAGGACCAGAAGTCAAATGAGTTTAGTGTTTTTATTGACTTTGCATTATTAAAATACACACGTAGAGAATGGATTATGCTTTTTCATTCATTCATTCATTCATTCATTTGACCAAAGTTTCGTGACGGATTCCTCTGTGCAGGCACCGTGCTGGGTGCTGGGGACACAGAGACCAAGAGAGACCTGTACACTCCACTCATATTCTAATGTGACACACAGGCAGGAAGCAAGGAATACAAGTAAAATAATTGCATTTTAGGATAAAATCCATGAGAACAAACAGTATGAAGATTCAGTATCAGAGTAGAGTTCCTGAGGAAGATGAGGATTTTTTTTTTTTTTTTGAGACAGAGTCTCGCCCTGTCACCCAGGCTGGAGAGCAATGGCGTGATCTCAGCTGACTGCAGCCTCCACCTCTCAGGTTCAAACGATTCTCCTGCCTCAGACTCCTGAGTAGCTGGGATTACAGGTGCCCACCACCACGCCCAACTATTTTTTGTGTTTTTAGTAGAGACAGGGTTTCACCATTTGGCCAGGCTGGTCTCGAACTCCTGACCTTCTGATCCGCCCGCCTCGGCCTCCCAAAGTTCTGGGATTACAGGTGTGAGCCACCATGCCTGGTTGAGTTGAGGGGTTTAACCTCAACCCTATGGGATGAGAAGAGTCAGGAAAGTGATGGTCCTGGGGAAGAGCTTTCTGGGCAGAGAAGCAGTGGGTGTGATGGCCCCAAGACAGGCCAGAGCTGGTTTTGTTGAAAGAAGAGAAGACCTGTGTGGCCGGAGTATTGTGCCAGGGAGAAAAGAGCCCAGGACTTCGACAGGTGAGCCGAGACCAGACCACCCAGTTCCCACAGGACAGGGAAGTGGCTTTTGGTTCCATGTGATATAAAGAAGGAAGCCATTTGGAAGATTTTGATCAGGGCTGTGAATTTATATTTCATAAAGATCCCGTTGCCTGCTGCGTGGAGAAGAGATTGGATGCAGGGCCAGCAATGGAAGGGGGGAAATCAGGAGATTTTTGCAGTATTCCAGGCCAGAGATAATGTAGTCTTTAAAAAGGATTTTTTTTTTTTTTTTTTTTAAACACAACCACAAACCACTGTTATCACCATAAAGACTGTTTAGAGTAACAGGGAGAAAAGTTATTTTAAAATGTGTTTATTTTCCAGATAATGTCCTTGGACAAGGAATGCATGTCTGTTACTGGGGGGGTCAGCTGACTTTGTAGTTGGACACCCCGCCCCCGTCCCCGACTCCTGATACAGGACTGCCCCTCCACTTCCTGAGCTCTGAAACAAGCTTTGTTTGTTAGAAACGCCTGGCTCCTCCTGAATTATGTCGAGAGGCTTCTGGTGACAGGGCCGCATCGCAGGAAATGCAGACACATTGGGTCTGCCGCCATCACATCCGAGGCCTGCGGCGTAGACACAGACTTTAGAGTCACAGGGAAGCTGATGGCAGAGGGAGGATGGAGCCTCAGGGAAAAGAGAAGTCAGTTTACTCCCAGACATGGAGGCCATGTGGCACTCTGGGGACTAGCTCAGCTGCCCCCACCAGTCTTTCACCTTCCAACCCAGAGTCCATATTGCGGGTAATAAATACCCTTATAATGAAAAATGAGAGTCGGAGTTGTACCGAGATGCCAGAGGCAATGACCTTTAAATTTGAGGCACTTGGAACTTACCATGATTAAGTGACTTCAAGACCTGGAAAGTTTGCAAGATGGTTCTACGAACAGCAACAACGGTCATAACCAGACCTTATATTTATACTGTGTCTTTGCCCCAAAGGCTGCAGAGCATTTGACCTGTCACTCTCTCGGTCGGCTTTTGTTAGTGTTCCTGCCTTCAGGTCAGGAACTCAAGAGACTTATACTGTGAATGGGGGCTGATATTTCCTAGTTGTGGGCCAGAGGTCATGTCCGGCAGACAATGCTCTTTCTCTGTTAGATGGTTAAGGCTGGCCCAGAGACCAGTTAAATGCTGTCAGCTGGTGGCTTCCCAAATAAACTTAGTAGAGAAGTCAAAAAAGAATTTACTAGACCTGTTTTGAGTTATTTGGATGGATTGGCTGACTAGAAGTGTCCTGATTCCAGTGATTTAGAGCAGAACATTCTAGCCAGGGGAGAGTGGTAGAAGATCGCTGCCTGGTGGCTCACCCCGGGCTCCCTGCTTTGAGGACAGGCCAGAGGTGTCATCCAGCAGGCGGCTTAAACAGCGATGGTTATGACGACGGTGTAGTGCGTGCCGCTCTCTCAGCCTTCTCACCATGTTTGTGATCTTTGACATAACCACAAGGAAGAGGAGATGGGGTTACCCTGTGTAATATGGTAGCTGTTCCCCTTACTAGCTCCATCTTATGCCATCTCTCCTTGAGCCACTGAGCACTGGTCACACTGGCCTTTCTGCTCCCTGGACAAGCCACACTCCTCTGCCTGCCTCAGGGGGTTTGCTTATGCTGTTTCCTCTGCCTAGACCCTTTTCCCTCCCTCCCCTCTGTCCTCATTCACAAGGCCAGCCTTTGCTCATCCTCCACATCTCAACTCCCTCAGCTCACATCCTCATGTAGGCCTCCCCTGGCCCACAGATTAGGGAAAACTCCCTCCTAACACCGTCTCAGAGTACTTTGAACTTGCCTACCACTGTTTTGAGAAGAGTTGTAATTATATGATAATATATGCACATTATTTAAATCTGTCTTCCCTTCCCTAGACTGGAAAGTTCATTTGGGGCTGGGACTGTAGCCATTTTGTAGCTTACCTAGCATGGAGCCTGCCGTGTAGTCAGCACTAGATAAATGCTTTAGATAGAATGAATGAATTCCTATTGTATAATTGGGGAAACTGAGGCATGAAGAGATGATGACTTGCCCTAGATCACACAGTGAGCCCATAAAGAATCCCCCAGGTGGCCAGGTGTGGTAGCTCACCTGCATGGTATGCCTGTGATCCTAGCACTTTGGGAGGCTGGAGTGGGAGGATCACTTGACCCCAGGTGTTCGAGATCAGCCTGGGCAACATAGTGAGACCCCCATCTCTACAAAAAAAGCCAGGCATGGTGGCATGTGCCTGCAGTCCCAGCTACTTGGGAGGCCAAGGTGGGAGGATTGCTTGGGCCTGGGAGGTTGAGGCTGCATTGAGCCATGATTGTGCCACTGCACTCCAGCCGGGCCAATAGAGTGAGTCCCTGTCTCAAAACAAAAACAAACAAACAAAAAAAACGAAAAAAAACCAAAAAACTCTCTGGGCCCCCTGACACGGAGCCCAGTGAGCTCCATGCCCTTTCCTTCTTTTCCTACTCCCACTGTGGGGCTGGGTCCTCTGCCACAGTCTTTTATCCCTCCCTTAAACCCAGAGGAACACATCCTACCTCCTCCCCTCCTCTGAAGGGAGGGATGTGCTTAGGCCCCTACATGGAGAGTATGCCAGATTACGTCTTGGAATTGTCAGCCACCGTACTGAGAAATGAATGGGAAACGCTGAGCCGATGAACCTGACCTTGCTTTGGTCATGGCTTCACTGGATAATCTGGAGCACTCAAAACTGTTTTCGGCCTCAGCGTATTCACCTGCAAAATGGAAACTGGATTCTATGTTGCAGTGTGGCTGGCAGGCTGCTGGAGAGAGATAATTTCAAATTCATGATCTTTAAGCTCCATGACAAGTCGGGTACTAAATAAAAGTCTATTTTTCTAGGAAAAAAAAGCAGTGGTTTATTATGAACAGCACATTGGTGTTCAATCTGGTCAGATGAACAGGAAGTTACTTGTTTTCATCAGACAGGGCAGGGTTCCAGAATGGCAGGGAAAGGAGAAACATTTTCATATTTCTGAGGTGGCCCTTTGGGAACAAAAAGAAACATTACATTTACAAAAGTAAGTTTTGATAAAACATTTTGGCCCCACATAGAAAAGGACCCCTACCAGCATAGTCTCTTGTTCGAAAGCTCTTCTTGGGCAAAAAGAATGGAAAAAGGTCCGTGTTCTGGGAGGACTTGTCTGGAAGGGGCCCAAGGGCTTAGGAGAGCCTTGGTAGTGCCAAGAGTTCAAACTCCAAGCAGCATTTTGGAGGCCCAACTGCCCAAGCAAAGGCAGTGTCTTCACTTTGTTAAAAAATAATAACAAATCGGAACACTCTGAAAATTACCCTCTGATGGTTTTTCCCTTTGCATTCTGCTTCTCACCTTTTCCATTTTTTTTTTCCATTTCAGAGGGTTTTGGAAAATGATGAAAATGTAGAAGAAGGGAATGAAGAAGAGGATTTGGAAGAGGATATTCCCAAGCGAAAGAACAGGACTAGAGGACGGGTAAGTTGGGGATGACACGAGCGAGGAAAGAGGTGAGGGAGGCTGGGGTGCCCGGCCAAATACTGATCTCCACTGCAGCTGGATGGAGATCATAGCCATGGTCTGACATGGAGAACGCTCGAAGAAGAAAACTCCACAACAGCTCTGATCCCAAGAGGGAGGAGAGGAGGCAGATGGGGTGCCCTGAGTGGGTGCTGAGGTCTGGGGAGGGCTGAAGGGTGGGATCAGGGTGAGGGTGGAAGATGAGGAGAATGTGCCTGTTGTCACCACTGCTCGGTTACTAAAGAAGGCTGGACATTTCCTGCCTTGTCCCTGGCTACCCCAGAATGATAGAGTCAGGATACCTGCTTTCGGGTTATGCTTCACTAGGCAGAGTAGAAGTTTCCTGGGGTAGCAGGGGACTGCAGCTGGTGGCTCCCAGTGGGTTTGGCATGAGCTCTGGAGACTTGAGACCATCCCAGGGGTCCTGGGATGGGACAAGAAAAAAGCCAGAGCCTGCGGAAGGGCAGAGGGGAAACCGAGGTGGAAGTAATAAAAACAAGAGAGTGGTCAGGCACTTCCAGGCATTCAGGTTGAATCTAGAGTTCACGCCCGAAGGGGCTTTCTGTGGTGGCTGTCAGGGGTCTGCAAGGGCATGTGACAATAAGCAGGTGGAGGGGGACCTCCAGAAGTAAACTGCTGCTGTCCACCTGGAGAATTAACTCTCAGGCTTGAGGATCTCACCCCTTCAGGCTCTTGGCAGGACTCTTAGCCCTCCCATGGATAAGCACTTAGACCTGGGCGTTCGGTGGGTTTGCGGCCAATCATCATCATGGCAGGGCTCTCCACTCTCATAGTTCTCATGCCTCAGCAGACATTAGTGTCACCGAGAGGGCTTACTGAATGCAGATTCCCAGGACCCCACTCAGAAATTCTGCTTTAGGAGCTCTGGGGCAGGGCTTTATACTGTATTAGAAGCAAGTTCCCAGGCGGCCGCTGCACGTGGGCCAGTGCTGCGATGCCCAGCCTGTCGCCGTGTGGGGCTGTGCAGCCTGTGCAGGGGCTGGGCGGGCAGCTCTCTGATGGTGCACCTCTGGTGCAGCTGGGACCAGCCTCGTCACTTAGCAAGATTTCGGCTATCTTGGCTTGTCTCTTCTTTTCTCCTACTTTTCGTTGATTTATGTTTGTTTGATTTTTTTTCCTGGAGTATTTGAAAACAAGTTCTAGACATCTTATCATTTAACTGGCACATATCTCAGTGTGTATCTCTAACAGATATCATTATCATACTCAATAAAATAATAGTTATAATTCCTACTATCTAGTCCCTTATCATTTCCCCCTTTGTCAAAAAATGCCATTTTATAGTTGGTTTGTTTAAAACTTAAGTCTCTCGGATTCCACAGCATACCTCTTCTGTATTCTCTTCCGTATTGCACCCCACCACACACATTTTTTTTTCTCCATGCCATTAATTTGTTGAAGAATTTGGGTTGCTCGTCTTGTGGAACTTCTCACATTCTAGAAGTGGTGGAGGGTGGTGTTTAATGTCTTCTCCATCCTCTGCGTTTCCCGAAAACTGGTAGTTTGATCAGAAACTTGCTTAGATTCAAGGTGTGTGGTGTTTGTGTGTGTGTGTTTATGTGTGTGTATGGTTGTGTTTGTGTGTATTTGTGCATGTGTGTGTTTGTGTATGTGTGTGTGTGTATGTGTGTATGTGTGTGCTTGTGTATGTCTGTGTGTTTGTGTTTGTGTGTTTGTGTGGTGTGTTTATGTGTGTGTATGTGTTTGTGTATGTGTATTTGTGCGTGTGTGTGTTTGTATGTGTTTGTGTGTGTATGTGTGTGGGTGTTATTTGTGTATGTGTTTTGTGTGGTATGTGTGTGTATGTGGTGTATTTGTGGTATGTCGTGTGTGTTTTGTGTTTGTGTGTTTGTGGTGGTGTGTATGTGTCTGTGTATGTGTATTTGTGCGTGTGTGTGTTTGTATGTTGTTGTGTGTGTATATATATTTTTGTGTGTGTGTATGTGGTTTGTGTGTGTATGTGTGTGTTTTGGTGTGTATGTTTGTGTATGTCTGTGAGTGTTTGTGTGTGTGTTGTTTGTGTGTGTGGTGTGTTGGTGTGTGTATGTGTGTGTGTATGTGTGTGTTGTTTGTGTTGTGTATGTTGTGTGGTGTTTGGTGTTTTTGTGTGTGTGTGTTGTATGTTTTGTGTGTGTATATATTTTGGTGGTGTGTTTGTGGTGTATGTGTGTTTGTGTGTGTAATTGTGTGTGTGTTTTGTGTGTGTGGTGTTGTGTATGTCTGTGTGTGGTGTGTTTGGTATGTGTGGTTGGTTGTGTGTGTGTGTGTGTGTGTATGTGGTGTGATGTGTGTTGTGTTTGTGTGTTGTGTGGTGGTTGTTGTGTGTTGTGTGTTGTGTATGTGTGTGTGTGTTTGTGTTTGTGTGTGGTTTGTGTGTGTGTTTGTGTATGTGTGTGTGTTGTTTGTGTGTGGTGTGTTCGTGTGTGTTGTGTTTGTTATGTGTGTACAGATATTTCTTGCGGGGAGGCAAAAATCCTTCCTAGGCGGTGATGGGTTCTTCTCGTATCACATCAGGGGGCATATCCTGTCCAGTTCTGCTTTGAGTGGTGTTTCAGTTGATGAGTAGATTGAGTGTTGTCAGCCTGATCTCTCCCTTATACAGTTCCTCATAAGTTTTTACTTAATGATTTTTTGCAGCCATTGCTAAACTGGCCTAGCATTCATGGAGGGGAGGTATTAAAAGAAAATCGAAATCCATTATTAAAGGAGACTTTTCCAGCTTGGGACTTCTGGGCCTTTTGTGAACTCCCAAAGACTGTGCATGGTCTAGACCCACTTCTTTCCTTCCTCTCACCCCAACTAAACTGACTCGAGGTGTGGGAAATGGTCCTCTTCACAACCTTCTCCCCACTCTACATTTGGAAGATTGAGCTGTGCAGTCAGTGGATATGAATTGGTGGTTCTGGTAAAACATAAGCCAGCAGCTGCAACATGTATATTACTGTGCACTTCCTGTAAACCAGGGCAATGTGATGGGCTCTGTACATCAAGAGCTACCACAAACACAGTGGCATGCCTTTGTGCCAGGTGCTTTAGGATTACTCTTCTCTATTTCTGCACTGTGCATTATGGCCAGCTGCTGGCCCAAGTGGCTACTGAGTCCTCAAAACGTGACTAGTCCTAATGGAGATGTGCTGTAAATGTAAAATACACATGAAATTTTGAAGACTTAGTATGAAAAAGGAATGCAGAACATCTCATTATTAATTTTTATATTGATTAAATTATAAAACTATCACGTTTTGGATATATTGTTAAATAGAATATATTATTAAAATTATTTGCACCTATCTCTTTTTTAAAAAAATGCGCTGCTGGAAATTTTAAAATGATGAGTGTGGCTCACATTGTATTTCTATTGGTCAGAACTTCTTTCATTTCCACAAGTCGGTCTATTACTCCCAGGGGGTTAAGCAATTTGTTCAAGGTCACTCAGCTTAGTAAGGAAGAGGCTAAGATTTGAACACAGGTCTGTGCTTTCTCCTCTGAGTTCATGCCTGGCCCAGGGCCCAGCGTATAGCCAATGATTAGCTTGTTGAATGAATGACTGAATGATGGATTCAGTTTTCCGTTGTAGGGGAGATGAGAGAGACCCGGACACAGTGAGGGAGCTGGATGGAACCTAGACTGGCTCTGGGCCCACCAGATACTGGCCAAGCAGCAGCTGAATGGCTCCATGTTGTACAGTGACATTGTGGACATGTTACCCATGGGGGGAGCCATGGAAGGACCCAGAAGGCTGTGGGCAAGGCTCCTGTGCTGCAGTGTGTGAAGCTGCTGCACTCACAGCCTCAGTTCAGCTGTTTTGCCCACTCTTTATTTTTATAATTATTATGTTTTAGAGATGGGGGTCTCACTCTGTTGCTCAGGCTGATCTGGAACTCCCGGCCTCAAGCGATCCTCTTGTCCACGTCTCCCAAAGTGCTGGGATTACAGGCATGAGCCACCGTGCCCAGCTCATTGTCCACCCTTTAAAGTAGTATATTCCAGCTACTGCTGGCACTGGAGAACAACTATGTCCATTTCTCTTGTCAGAACCTAGAGGCAGTCTAAGTCTTGCCACCTCTGTGTGTGGTCTCTGGATAGCAGCATTCATATCGTCTGGGAGCTTGTTAGGAATGCAGGAGCCCGGACTCCACACTAGACTAATTAGAATTAGAGTCTGCACTTTGGCAAGTCCCCAGGTGCTTTGTGTGCTCACTGAGGAGGCCAGGGCTAAGGTAGCTACAGAATAGGCTCCGCTTTATTTGAACTTAGACCCTGCAAGTTCAAATCCCAGCTCCACCACTTACTACCCTCTGGGTGAATTAGGTAACCTCTGTGATGGCGGCCAAATTATATAAGTACCCGGGGCCTCAGTTTCTTCATCAGTAAGTTTTGAGTGCTTCATACTGCCTAGATATTATCAGGAGGATGCAAGCAAAGGGCATAACTCTCGAAACTTTGATAATGGGTATTCTCTGAGCGGTGAGGGAAGCCCAACAATTAATGATTGTGTCTATGGTAACTTCAGCCCGAGAAGTCAAAGCTCTTTAAAATTCATGAGATTCTTGTGAGTCATCCATGTGAGTATTAGCAATAAATCAATTATCAGTCAATCATGAAGTATTTATGTACTATGGTGTTCAGGTGCCTCTCAAACTTTATGTGCCTATGGAGCACTTGAGGATCTTGTTAAAATACAAATTCTGATGCAGTATGTCCATAGGGTGGGGGCTAAACTCCTGCCTTGTTAATAAGCTCCCAAGTAATGCTGGAGTTGCTGGTGTCAGGACCACACTTTATATAGCACGGGTGCAGGCCGGGCGCGGTGGCTCACACCTGTAATCCCAGCACTTTGGGAGACCAAGGCGGGTGAATCATGAGGTCAGGAGATTGAGACCATCCTGGCTAACACGGTAAAACCCCGTCCCTACTAAAAATACAAAAAATTAGCCAGGTGAGCTGGCACGCACCTGTAATCCCAGCCACTTAAGAGGCTGAGGTAGGAGAATCGCTTGAACCCAGGAGACAGAGGTTGCAGTGACCCGAGATTGAGCCACTGCACTCCAGCCTGCATGACAGAGCAAGACTCTGTCTCAAAAAAAAAAAAAAAAAAAAAAAAAAGAAAGAAAGAAAGCAAGCAAGGGCGTAGAGCAGTGGTTCTCAATTTTTTTGATCTCAGGAATTCCTTATACTGAGAGCCCCCAAAGGCTGTTATTCAGGTTATAACCAGTAATATTCATATCACGAATGATATTTGCCATTTTAGAAATTAAAAAGGGAGTCTCTCTACACCTATTGTGATTTAAAAGGTGGCCCAATAAAAAAGATTTAAAAGAAAAACACATTTTAAACTAGAGAATACACACATAGTGACAGCATCATCACATGTCACGTCGCCTCTGGAAGACTCCATTGGACGCCTATGACAGCGTGAGAGTGAAAAAGGCAAATCATCTTTTAGGACTCTTATGAAAATAGTCCAGACACTGCAGAGTCCCTGAAAGGACAGTCAGGGATCCCCCAGGATTCCTGGGCCACACTGTTTGAGAACAACTGGTATAGAAGATCTAGCTCTCCGCTTAGGACCAAGTCTGTCCTAGTCAAGGGTCTTTCAGCTTTAATAAAAATGGGAAGCATTTGAAAAGCTGCCAGGGCACTGCCCCAAATTTGAGCAACCTTTGAAGATCCAAACCACAGGAAGAGCAGGAACATGGCAGGGACTTTGCGTTGGGAAACAGTAAGGAACCCAGGTAGTTTCTGGCCTCTACTTCTCCCTCCTTCATTCTTCCTGCTTTCATGTGTACATGGCCCCATAAGGCTCCTGAATGTATGGGCCCTCAGTTCAAGTGGCCTACACTAACTAGGGCCACTGTTTTCTAATTCCAAACTCCTTGGAGGTAGAATCTGATTGGCCCAGCTTGGATCAGATGACTACTCTTGAGCCAGCCAATCAACTGTGGCCAGTGGGACAGGGCCATGTGGCACACTCATGGCTGCCATGGCCCAGCAGTGTGGGGATAAGGGTAGGGAGGAGGGGAGTAGGGTGGGCAGTTCTGGGGGAAGGAGGATTGGCTTCCTTTGGCTGGTCAGCTTCAAAGCTTTCTATAACAGAGCCTGGAGACCTAGGTCCTGCTCCTTCTGCTGGCCCTGGGATTGTGGACAGGTCAGAACCTGCTTCATCAAGGGCCAGATAGGAATCATAACACTACTTGGTCTAACTCATAGGGGTATTGTAGGAATTAACTGAGCTACTATATGCAAAAGAGCTTTGCATGCTATGTGCTAAGTGTTAGGGGGTCATAATAAAGTATAGCATGCCATTTTGCCCCCAAGGACCTTTGAATCAAACTAGGAAGAAGATGCTAATACCCATGATACCATTAGAAACAGCAGGTACATGACTGTGCACTAACCAAAGGCAACAGGAGTTCAGAGGAGAGAGATCAACCTAGGCAAGGAGGGGGGAAATAGTGTGTTGAGTGCTTCCTGTGGACTTAGTGCTGTCCCCTGTGGTTTCACACACTCTCAGCTCAAACTCTCTCAACAGCTCTGCTATATAGGTGTTGGTGTGCTCATTTTACAGTTGAGAAAACTAAAGCTTAGAGAAGTAACTTGCCCAAGACATGTAGCTGGTATTTCAACCTGTGTCTTATCTGACTTTAAGCGGATGCTCTTTTCACTCCTTACTGTGGCAGGAGGAAGATTCTTGGAGGAGTGGAGGTTAGCAAGGGCAAAGCCTGGATCAGGTGTGCATGGGCAGAGGAGAGCATGATCATGGATCAGGTGTGCATGGGCAGAGGAGAGCGTGATCATGGGCTGAACCCGAGGGGATCAGCACTAGGTTGCCACTGGCTGTGTAAGTGGATTGTAGATGGCAATGATTGAATGAACGTGTGAATGCATGAACCTATAACCATGGGCTCCTGTCTTTCATCCTTTTGTCTAATGGTCTGAAAGTCCTGTGGGATGGACTGGGGGGCAGTGTGGAGGTAGATCCCCTGTTAGGGTGGACTAGGGGGCAATGTGGAGGTAGAACCCCTTGAGTGGGTTCTTTGAACCCACTCAGGGGTCAGTTGATGAGCTCCTGGATTAGCGTGTGCAATAGAAAGGAAATGCAAAGCCTAGATGGCCTTTGAAGGAAGAAACAATAGCATTTGGATACAGAAAATGAAGAAGAACCAGAAGTGACTGACTCGCTGCCTGCCTGATTGACTCATTTATTTGGCAAATGTTTATTAAGTGCTTCTTATGTGGCTGGCCCTGTGCCAGGTTCTGAGAATAGTGGTGGCCCCAATAAACATGGTCTTCACCATGTTTGTCTCTCCATGTAGGGGAGACAAAATCAACTTGTAAACCAACACAGGTATAATCTAATGTCAGCGCTCAGTGCCATGATGAAACGGGAGGGGAAAGAAAATGATAGAGAGGGTGTGAGTGGATGTAAGTTGGTCAGGGAGGGCTTCTCTGAGGAGGTGACATTTGAGCAGGACAAGTGGGATTCTGAGTTTCCAAACCTGAGATCTTCTGAGAGACCCTACTGCTTCAGAAAGAGTCCCTTGCGTGTTCCCTGAAGTGCCCTATAGACACGATCCCCATTTTGCCATTGAGGAAACTGAGGCAAAGGGAGTGTGGCACACAGAGTCACTCTGCTGGTCAGCCCTGCTGCAGGAGATGAAAACCTGGCTCCCACAGCACCCTCCCTTTCCTGCTGGCAGCTCCCCCAGAAGCCCTCATGCTTCCAGTTCTGCTCGACTCCTCCCCTTCCCCCGGAGGTATTTTTAGTCTCCCAGAGCCCCTTCCCCAGTCTGCTGTTGCCTCGTCATTCTGCTTGACTTGCTTTCACCTGCTCAGAGGCGGCTGTGACAGGGCTGCGGGCTGCATGTCAAGCTGTCCCTGGCTTCCCAGAGGGGTGTGGAGGGGGAGGGCAGCTGAGGGTGACCACCCTCGGCAGTGCGGGCAGGCAGGAGGCCTGTCAGTGCCCGGGGTGACTGCCAGCGCCTACAGATCCCTCTTGGGGTCAACTCTGAGTAATGAGGGCGAGGGGAGGAGGGCTGCTGGCTGTCAGCGCTGCAGGGGTGGGGTGGGGAGGGAAACCAGTGGGAGGGAGGGAGGAAGTGGAATTTGTTTTGGAGAGAGACAAGCTGAGGAGGTGACAGAGGTGGTAGCTTGGCAGGTGGTGTTGATTGGGAAGTGGGTGTGTTTTCTGAGTGTGTGTTGCAGGCCTAGGGTACAGGCCTTTCCACTGTGAAGTCCCCAGTGAGTGTGTGCATGGCGTGTGTGTGCACAGAGTGTGAGCGTGTGTGTGAGAGTCTCCCAGGCCTTTCAACCACCAAGTCCGCATGGCCACTTTTCCAAGCCAGGCCCCAGGGGCTGCCCCATTTCCCCTGGACCCCAGGCTGCTGCCAGGTCTCATTCCTCACCTGCTGCCCCTTCCTCTCTGTCCCCAAAGACCCCCACAGGCCCTTTCCTTGGTTGGGAGTTGACTGCTACTCATTACCAAAGAATGACACACGTGACCAGTGTGGGACTTACAAAGGTTTAAAAATAAACCTCGCCGTGTTCTTGTCACCACCGCCCTGGTGCTGCAGAGCTGCCAGCAACCTCTCTGACTGGGCTCTTTGATTCTTGAAGGTAGAGCTCATTCCACCGCCACCCCGGGTCATGCTGACCCTGTCTGGGAGATTCACACAGGGTGGTGGTATCGGAAGTCCAGCCCAGGAGACCGTGAGGGTCAAGGTCTTCATCACTGGCTGGAGGCCCAAGGCAGACCACACAGGGAGGCCAAAGCCCATCCCTACTGAGTAGGCCAAGCCTGGGGTGGTGGCAGGAGCTCCCCTGTATCTGCACTAGTGCATTGGGCCTCCCCTGCATCTACACTAGTGCATCAGGACTGTCTGGCTCTTGGGACACAGGGGGATGGACACAGGAACCTAGGGAGACAACTACAATTATGCCTCCTTGCCCCCGTCAGGCCTTGCTCCTGATACACGCAGCAGCTGGTCAGCCGAGGGGCCTGAGGTTGTCATCCTCAGTGGTGTCAGCGAGGCTAGGAGGCTAAGGAGCTGGAGGAAGCGGCCTCAGTGGCACTGTAGTGTGTGGGAATTTGGTAGAGGAGGGCTTTTCAGTACGGCTGCCCTGAGTAGCCGAATGACCTTGGGCAAGCTACTTAACCTCTCTATCACTTCAGTCCTTTGATCTGTAAAATGGCCACCCTAGTAGAAACCACCTCTTGGAGTTGTGAAGATTTAATGAGATGATACAGGTGAGCAACTGACTGATTTCGGGCACGCGTCACCTGACCTCTCTGGGCCTCAGTTTCCTCCCCTGTAAGATGGGACTGGTGTTGGCACAAAAGTTGGGATGAAGATGGTGTAAGGAGCTTGCAGAGCGCATGCTCCAGAGCCGTAGTGATGACCGTGGTAACGAGCATCCCATACCCCGATGTCTCCCCAGGCTCGTGGCTCTGCGGGGGGCAGGAGGAGGCACGACGCCGCCTCTCAGGAAGACCACGACAAACCTTACGTCTGTGACAGTAAGTATGGGCCGGTCCCACCTTCCTTCTTCTGCCCCTGACCCCAGGGCCCCCCTTCCCTGTGCTTCCTTGGCCGTCCGCCTGCCAGCCTCAGCGTGTGCTCGCCTCTTCCTCTCTGTCCGCACCCCAGCTTACCCGCCTGTCACCTCCGCCGCAGTCACCACTTCCTTGGGCTGCTGCTGCCCCGGGAGGGGGTTTCTGCAGAGGGGAAGCCAGCCGGGGTGGCCCCCACCCTCAGTTCTGTGCCCCCACCTCCTGCCATGCCTCCTGCGTGGCTCTCCTCTGGCTCTCTCTCTCACGCTCTCTGTCTCCTTTAAGATTCATCCTCTATTTCTTTCTGTATTTCAGAGAGTTACAAACAAAAGCATAACTCAAAACCCTCCGACAAAGGTACTTGGCTCGTCGTGGCTTTTCATTTGTTTCCCTTTAATTTCCTTTCCCTCTTTCTCTCCTGTCCTAGGTAGGGCAAGTTATGAATCTTTCTATGACGATGACTTACTTTAATAAATGGCCCTCGATCCATCTCTAGTCTTTCCTGCTTGCTTCAGAAACATCTTTTGGACAAGCGACTCCCTGGCTGACTCCTGAATTTAGGGTCTGCAGACAGAGCTAGGGAGCCCACGGGAGGCGAGTTGCAGGGAGCCAGGGCAGTGGGTGGACCTCTGGAAACCTGCAGCTTGAGGAGGGATGTGGTCAGCTCCAGACAGCAGAGCACTGAGTGGCGGATTGAAAACCTGTGCCCTAGTCATCTTCTCATGGTACTGGGTACCATTTGCTCATTCCATGGGAGGGCAGCCCTCACCACCACACTCCTAATGGTCTTCCCTTGCCATCTTCTCCTCTCTGAGGATGCAGAGCTTCACCATAGGAGGGAAGGGGCTGCAGTGAGGATGGCAGTGAAACAGTCGAGGCTGGACCCTGGCATGGGGCTCCCTCTGGGTGTCCCACCCATCTCGCTGGGGTCTGCAGTCTCCCTGAAGGCAGGGAGAGAGCCAGGCGGGGGGGCGCCCAGGGAGCGGGCTGGGGGTGGTGTCTTTTGTCTCCCCCTTCAGTGGCCTCTTTTGATTTCAAAAAGTTGTTCTGTGTCCGATGGGGTGACAGCTGATTGGAGAACATTTTGCTAGAAGAACTCAAACTCCATGACCCCCATTTGGCTGCTTAATACTCCGTGCAGATGCCATTCTCGAGACAACTCCTGCAGGTAACGTCTCCACCCCAAAGCAATTCCAATCCAGGATGAGGAGGGAGCAGCGCACGGGGTCTGGTGCCTTTTGGCAGCACCAGGAAGTGCCTACCTTGGCCTGGGTCTTGCTTCCTACATGGCGTTCAGTTTCACTCTGATACGTAGAAGCCCAAGCCTGCTGACCCTTGAGAGACTGGCTCTAGGCCATGGGCTGGGAAGGGCCCTCAGACCCCCTTGGGCTTTCCAGCTGTGTTTGGCTTGACCAGTACATCTATCAAGAATGCGGTGGCTATGGCCAGGCATGCGGTGGCTATGGCCGGGCGTGGTGGCTCACGCCTGTAATCCAGCACTTTGGGAGGCCGAGACGGGCGGATCACGAGGTCAGGAGATCGAGACCATCCTGGCTAACACGGTGAAACCCTGTCTCTACTAAAAAATACAAAAAACTAGCCGGGCGAGGTGGCGGGCGCCTGTAGTCCCAGATACTTGGGAGGCTGAGGCAGGAGAATGGCGTGAACCCAGGAGGTGGAGCTTGCAGTGAGCTGAGATCCGGCCACTGCACTCCAGCCTGAGCGACAGAGCGAGACTCCGTCTCAAAAAAAAAAAAAAAAAGACATTGACTTCTATACCTCCACTACCCATGCCTAAGTTGAAGAATTGAATGCTTACCTCTTCTGTGACTCCCTGACCCCAATAGAGAAAGCCCTTCAAGACACAAAATTAGACAAGCGACAGAGCAAGACTCTGTCTCCAAAAAAAAAAAAAAACAAAAAACAAAGAATGCCAACAACTGCTTTGGAACTGGGGCATTGCTACTGTATTCTTCTTTTATTTATTTGTTTTAGAGAGGCTCTCGCTTTGTCACCCAGGCTGGAGTATAGGGGTGCAGTCATAGGATTATAGCTCACTACAGCCTTGACCTCCTGGACTCAAGCCATCCTCCTGCCTCAGCATACCCAGCAGCTAGGACTACAGGCCAGTGCCGCTATGCTTGGTTAAGTTTTAAAAATTTTCTGTAGAGACGGGGTCTTGCCTAGGCTGGTCTTGAACTCCTGGTTTCAAGTGATCCCCCTGCCTCGGCCTCCCAAAGTGCTGGGATTACAGGTGTGAGCCACTACGCCTAGCCCTTTGTTCCTCTTTTAAAATGCTTTATCTTCATATGTGATTGTCTGCTACCATAGACAGTGGGATCCCTTTTTGCTTTATCTCTACAGCTTTCACTGGATTCCCAGCCAATCATAATCCCGTGGACTCCCAGACACACACACCTGTGTGCCGTTTTCTCCGACTTCACCCCCTCCCAGTTCCTCTCCTCCCACCTTTGCCTCTGACTTCTGCCTCCTTGTGGATCATCTCCATGAAGTGCCCTTTGGGGGCGTCCCTCTCTTACCGGGCACCCCTCTTCTGCAAAGTACTTGCATCACGCGCTCTCTCTTGAGCCCCCGTGGCTTCGTTTCGGGGCTCTCAGTGCCCTTGGCTTCTCCCGATGCCCTCCCCGCGGGCTCTCTCCCGCCTTCTGTGTGCCCTGTAGTGCCTGGGAGGCCTGATGGCAGGCTTTCTGGAAGTCTCAGTGGCTGCTTTCTTGGCTCTGTCCGCATGCGTGCTGCCTCCTCTCCCTCTCTCGGTGGAGCAGGGGCCACTGTCGATTACCCTTCTCTGTTCTGGCTCTCTTAGGAAATTGTGTGGCAGCTCGGTGATTAATAGACTTTATTTTTATCTGGTGCCCTTCAGACATGTGATCCTTTGGGATAGAAATGACCTTTGGAGAGGTCACGAGGCCCACCCCCCCACCCCCAAACTGGGCAAGGAGTGCTTTTAATAATCTCTAATGCATCCTAAGTAGAGAGGTGTCTGGCCGCCTCCTCGAGGGGTCCCCAGGGATGGTGTTACCATAAGCTGCCCTTTCTTCCAAGATGCCAGCTGTGCTTCGAATGAGTGTTTTTCCTTAATAGGAGCTGAAAATTTTCTCTCCTACAGGTCCCCTTGTCGTTTGCGCATCTTTCCCTAACGAATAGGCACATTAGGGCTTTGTCCATTTGGGAGACCTTCTGAACATCCTGTACGTTCTTGGTTGACTTAGGACCCCAACCCATAGTCTCTGTGGCACCCTGCTCGGAATTCCCTTCCAGGTCTACACTTAAGCATGACACTCCTAGGAAGCAGCGTCAAGTCCAGGTGGCTCAAAGAGCAACAGACGTATTTCCTTATTTATGCCCTGTCCACCCTCTCATCAACTTACCAGTCGGAGCTGTCCCAGCCTGGTGTCGATACCTCTCCAGGTGCATGCTCTTTTCTACTTATGCATTTGATTATTCTTCTTCTATAAATCACCTGCATTTGGTCCCATTGAGTCTCAATAAACAGATCCAATAATATGTGACTTCAATATACAAGATTCAATAAAGGCAAATTTAAAGACATTGCCCAGTAGTTAAATTTCATTCTCCACAGATTTGCCATCCCTGCCATTTTTGTATCATCTATGGTGTGATTTGCATAATTCCCACTCCATCTTTCGAGTTATTTATGAAAATATTAGATCACCTTGGACCCCAACTCCTTCTGGGTTTATGTGGAGTGGTAATAAGCTATATTCTGATGTGATTTATTTAACCCTTCCTGGAATGCATTCCTGAAGATAGTGGTCCTATGTGTGCTTCTTCCAAGCTTCCTTTTCAAAATGGGTGGCTGGAATATTATTGTAGCTGCTAACGCCAGGTGATAGAGAGTTAGCCTGATGCCTTTCACTCAGTCATTGAATTTCTTCCATCTCAGAGAAATATTAAATCACCTGAACGTGATTGATGTTTTACCCAATCCATGGTGTATGGATGTATGAATACTTTGTTTTCCAGCAAGTAACCAGTCTCTTTTAATTACCTTGAAAGTTTACCAAGCTTAAGGATTAAAGTTCTGTTTCTTCCCTTTTAATCTCTTGCCTAAGGAGAAGTGTTCTTATGCACAAAGACAGCAACTGATAGGACATTGTGGAAAAGGCTGTTGGTGTTTGTGAAAGTGTAGACCTGGACCAGCTGCACAGCAATGCCTAGATGCTTCTTAGAATTCAGACTCCTGGGCCCCACATCAGGCCTCCTGTATCAGAATCACTGAAGGGAAGGCCAAGGGGCCTGCATTTTCTGAGAGCTCTTCAGGGGATTCTTGTGTATACTGGTTTTTGACAGTGATAAGTCTACTTCATTTAAACATGAAGGCTTCTGGCTCCTGACTGCTCAGCTCTTGTTTTTCCCTGCTTTTTGCATCTGGACATTCTGGAGTCTCCAGGAATTCTCCAGGCAGGTTGCCACTGGCTTGCACCAGTGTTTTAGTTGGTCTCCTTAGAATCTATTCTTTCCATTTATTTCCCATTGATATACAACTCAGCAATCCAGTGCTTGATTTTTCATTCACTTAGTCGCTTTAAATCCTAGCAGTATCCTTAGCCCCGTTTTATAGGCGGGATGGTAATTGGGGACAGGTGTGTGGAAGGAATCCTTGGATTTGGGCTACTAGAAAGTTTTAAAAGTCATTTCAAGAGTTTGCCTCTTCTCTTCCTAATTGCTCCCAAGCCTGAATTTTTCTGTTAGCGTCATTGGAGCCAACTCCTGATGAGAGACCCACTTTTCCATTTTCTTTGTTCAAGAAACATCATAGAAAAGAAGTTGGTGATGACGATGTGTTGTTCAGGGAGAACATTTTGTCTCTAAGCATTAGCCATGCGGGGAGGAGCAAAGCAGGCATATGCCCTTTTGCTAGACACAAGGGAAGCAGTGTGGGAAGTTTTCTTTTCTCCTCAAAGTGTTTTCTGAATCATGGTCTT